AGACGGCCAGGTCATAGTGGAGGGTTCTGACTAAACGCGATCCACCTGGAGCAGAAACTGGCAAGCCACTCCAGTATCTTTGCCAAGAAAACTCCAAGGGCAGAAACAAAAGGCTAAAAGATATGACGCTTGAAGATGAGCCCCTCAGGTCGGAAGGCATTCAATATGCTACTGAGGAAGAGCGGAGGACAAGAACAAGTAGCTGCAGAGCTAATGAAGTAGTTGGGCCAAAGCCGAAAGGACGCTCAGCTGTGGACGTGCCTGGAAGTGAAAGCAAATCCGATATTGCAATGAAAAATACTGCATAGGAACCTGGAATATAATCTATGAACCTTGGTAAACTGGTTGTGGTCAAACAGGAGATGGCAAGAATAAACATGGACGGGAATGGGTGAATTCAATTCAAACAATTATCATATCTACTACTGTGGGCAGGAATGCTGTAGAAGAAATGGATTAGCCCTCACAGTCAACAAAAGAACTATGGATGGGGGTTCGTAACATTGTAAAGGAGGCAGCAACAAAAACCATTCCAAAGAAAAGGAAATGCAAGAAAGCAAAGTGGCTGTCCAACGAGGCCTTAGAAATAGCAGAGAAGAGAAGGGAAACAAATTGCAAGGGAGATAAGGAAAGTTACAGCAAATTGAATGCAGACCTCCAAAGAATAGCAAGGAGCGACAAGAGGGCCTTCTTAAACGAACAGTGCAAAGAAATAGAAGAAAATAATAGAAAGGGAAAAACCAGAGATCTGTTCAAGAAAATTGGAGATATTAAAGGAACCTTTTCTGCAAAGATGGACATGATAAAGGACAAAAATGATAGGAACCTAACAAGCAAAATACATCAAGAAGAGGTGGCAAGAATTCACAGAGGAATTATACCAGAAAGATTTGGATATCCCAGACAACGTAGATGGTTGCTGACCTTGAGCCAGACATCCTGGAGAGTGAAGAAAAGGGGGAATTAGAAAACATGGCTAACAACAAGGCCAGTGAAGGTGATGGCATTCCAGTTCAACTATTTAAA